CGGAAGTGACTGTGTTGCTGAGCCTCCGCTGAAGCCTGCGGAAAAGACCAGCACCAGTCTTTGTGGCCTCAACAATTCAAGAGCCACAGGCACAAGATTCTGCCAGCAACACTGTGGTTTTGGGATCCCTGCCCTCAGTAGGGGGAAGCTCGACGGCGCAGACCACGTGCTGCCTCAGGCCAAAACGAAAAGGACCATTGGTCCAACGCGGTTGGCAATCGTGAGAGAGCAATGCATCTTAAAGGATAGCTGCTCACAAGCCATTCCGCATTTTCTGAGAAAAGGCTGTAGGTACACAACAAGCTTATGTAAGTTGATTCCGTCCAATCAACTTGTTGAATCCTTTTTCCGCCGCATGGCAGCGCTCAGCGGCAGCTTCCCGTGCTGCGGATCCTTCGTTTAGACTCGGGCAGGCTCCTGAAGGACACTTGGGTGATCTTCTTCCTTCTTCCTCCTTCGTCGTCTCTCCTCCCTTGCTGGTCATCCTTCTTCTTGCTCTTCTGGTGCATTAGTGTAACTGGGGGTACCCTACTTGAAATGCCATCCTCTTAGAGTATGTTTACCCTAGCCATTAGAAAAAGGCTGATCAAGGATTGCTCGAGTCGTTTTTCCAGCTCCCCGTCCTTGGTGAGGGGCTCGGTCTCCCTGAGCTTGTCCTTCTCGGCCTGCTCCCGGATCTTCAGGTTGCCCCATAGGGCCTTGCAATCCCCAGTTGCAGGTGCCCAAGATGCCTCCTTTTCAATCTACAACTATCTACAGCTGCGGAGTTGAAGCTGAATTTGAAGTTCACATCAGAAGCAGCGTACCCTGTGCAACTGGGGCCGCCGCAATGCCCGTCCTTGGATGTGCTCTGCAGGTCAAGCATAAGAAAAGTAGCATCGTTCGGGACAGCGTGACACTGCCGGAAAGGAGCATAATCACGGCGAAGCCAATCTGCTGCTGTGTGGAGATGTGGTCACCGAACACTAGCGAGGAAGTGGCCACAATCACAGAATCCTACCAATTTAAAAGATGCAGATGCTGCGCAGAGGTACAGAGGCACATATCAGTCAGGGCAAGTCCTTCACAATTCCGATGATCACGAAGGCAACAGCAGACAGCCTTTTCAGAGCCGTGGCAATGATGAGGTTCAGTGCCTCGTCAACAAAAAATGCAGCTGTGAAAAAGTCAAGGAAATAGCCTTGCATGAAGCAATTCCACAAGCAATGAGGCTCCGACGAAGGCATTGAGGGCGTTCAGGATGATCCTGTTCAACACGACACACACGGCCACCAAGGAACCTAAAGACATGTCAGCTTCTCAAAGGCTAGCCAAGGCGCATGGGCCAGTGAGCCAGGAAGTCTGTCCACACTGCCGACTCCCAAGACAGCACGACGCTGATCCTAAGCACAATGGCTTCCGAGCAGCGATAGAAGCCTTGTACAAAGTGAAGGTTCTCCGCCAAGAAACACAAGCGGCACCAAAGAGCATGGTGCCTGGAACATAACGAAAGTCAGCACATCCAGCCTCAGACACGTCCAAGCTGACATGCACTAAGTGCGCCAAGTCTCCCAAGCAAGCCCGACCTAAAATCTGAAGCCAAGCTACTTCATACCTGCTCCAGTCATCAGCACCTCACCGATAAGGTTCTTCGAGCACTCTGCGAACTGCGAGGTGATCTGCAGCATGAAGCCTCGATGGCCACAATGTGTAGCTGCTTTTCCTCTAGCATAGCCCTGACTCAGCATACCCAAGCTAGCACGGCTCCCGCATGCTAACTTCATGTCAACATCCAGTGTGAACAGCTGCGCTTTAGCAGTCTTAGCCAAGCAGCCCATCCACACAAAGTTAATTTCTCCTTAATTGCATCAGCTCACTCCACAAACAACTTTTCACAACATCACCTGTGGCCAACACTGCAAAGCTTTGTCGAGGCTCCGTGGGCGCATAGCGAACATCCGGCTACCACAATGGTCAGGATCGCAACCTTCGTCCAGCTGAAGGCCTGAGATGCCAAAAGGCCTGTGATGATCCTGAAGACAATTTGCTGGCTGCAACCCTAATATATACCCTATTATAATATAGTAGTTTCCATTTTCTTTTCCATTATCCCTATATAACCCTGTAATATACCTACTTAAGGGGGACTATTGATAACTTAAGAAGTTGACTNNACAGTTCCAAGTTGTTGTCAGCCCGGCTTCTTCTGGACAAAGTTCCACAATGACCGCAGTATTGGACATTGATAAGATATTAAAATACAATGACCTTGAACACAAGGATGAGCTTGTCGATGCCAAAATGGTATCCTGAAACTGCTCTGGTCTCTACAAAGCGCCACCACGACACCTGGAGGCCCAGCACGCAAGACATCGCAAAGATCAGCGCGACGTTGCCCTCCTTGCCTTGCGAAACAGCCCCCAGTCGTACGGACACAAGAGATCAGGTTTTGTGGCCCTGTAGCTGTCATAGAACAACAGATGGCTGGCATTCTAGATGTTTCGGCTTGCCTTTGCCAGGTGTTATGCAGAACAAACTTGCACCCCAAAGAGCCTGGTCAGACTGATCTTAGCAAGAAGGTTGCTATTGCAAGCACAACCGCAGCTTCTTGGGGGGAAGAAAACCTGCTGTCCAGGCCAGGGGTCAGAACTGCAGGAATGCAACCTGCCAAGCCGTTCACGGCCGACATGAACAAGGAACAACACCGAAGAAAAAACGAGTCCACAGATAGGCTCCCCTGCAGCTCGGCAGCACTAGAATAGAGGTAGGCACGGTTGGAGCAGTACAGAGCCAGGGCGAACAACATTCCCAGCGGCACAATGTACTTCAACCTTGCAGTGGGCCAGCGGGCATGTTGCCATCCCTTGAAATAATTTGGAAGTTTCAGCTGTGGCGGGCAGTGGGAGTAAGCAACGCAAACTGAGGCCCCGGCAGGCTTGCCAAGTTCTCGCGTGCTTTGCCCATTGTTGGGTACAGGTTGGGCGCAACTGTGTAGAGCAGCAGCGACATGACTGTGGTCATTAGCATGTGCATTGCCGTCATAGCTTTCGGATGAGGAAAACGCTCAGCATTCCTGGCTTGGTCTATTGTGTCTGCTTGTGTTCTGTCCGTCAAAAGCTTCTCTGCTTAAGTCCAAAATGGAACCTGGCAGCTCTATATTAGAAGGTATGCTCACATCGCATCCTCGGTGCATCAGGTACTTGTTGAAGGCTATGAGGCTGGCGCTGATGAGAATGTAGCTGCCTCCTATCGCGCACGTCTCCGCGACCAGCTTCATTTCCTGCAATGGAGTTGCTTTGAGCATACTCACATATACTCCCGATATAAAACGGCGGCAGGTGCATCTTTTATTCGGCAATGAAGAGGCTGCAAGTGGCTCGGTTTTGGCAAGCAACAAATTTGCATTCAAGATGCCCGCGGTTGCCCTCATGATGATGGTGAAAGATCCACTGCACGTGAGCCGTGAGACCCTGCGGGTCCTTCATGCCAAGCATGCCTGGCACTAAAAACTTCGCTCGTGTATGGACTATACGGGCACTTCGTTGAAACTGGCTTTTGGGAAAAATGGCTGCAATCATTCGGAATCTGCTGTCTGCACCTGACTCGGCCCGAACATAATGCTTCAAAAGCTCACATAAATCTTCTCAGGAGCAAGCGCAAGCAGCAGCCAAACGGCTGGAGCAAGCATGCGGAAGCATAGGGCGCCGTCCGCTGTACAATGGCTCGTGTGGAATGATTCCACAGCAGAATCCAGTCTTGTCGCCACTCTATGGGCCCGCGTCAGCTGGAGGTCTAAACTGACTTTGGCCCAAGATCTCGAGCACTGCCAAGCACATGTCTGAGTGGCACATGTTCCATGATGCTACGCGGCATCCAGGATAAGTGCCTCACCTTTGCCGGAGCCCTTTTCCAAATCACCGCACCAGCTGGGTCTTAGGTGTCAAGATCACCGAGCTGAGGGAGCGAACGACTCTTCGCGCACGCGGCAATTGGATAAGCAGACCTAGAAGCATGCAACAAACGGCACCTCCACTTTCAATGGAGGCACCCAAATTCATATTAATCTTTTGTGTGAACCCAACTGGCAACGGGACGGAGAAGTACTGCGAAGGAAAGATAGCGGGTATTGCTCCCGCTCAGTCCACCAATATCGGCCCAGCCTCATGCAAGCATCAGCTTGGTACGTGTGTGCGAGCTATTAGTGTTGCAGTCGTAGCGGCCTGCATCAAAAGTCAAGCAGCACTGATATTCAGGACTTCGTTGCTGATAAGACGTATCTGGATGGCTTACATTGTAGTTTCGGCCATCTCCGTGCAAAGAGCTCTTAATTTCTAACAGCAATGCCAGGGACAATTGAGAGTACGTAGGGTGCACGATATCTCGACGGCACAACTCGCAACATTCACCTTTGCACCGGAAATCCTCAGCACTCAAGATATGCCACCGTACTCAGTCTCCAACAGCTTCCAAGTTCCCGGAGAAGCCGCTTCCTGGGAATTGCTGCAAAATGTCAAGGCTCAGAATTCTACAGTCTACAATTGAGCACTACACCTCACACTTTAGGTGAGAACCGAACATGCACCTCAATCGATGGTCCTAGGGAAATATCTTGCAAAATCTGTTTCTGTCCCCAAGATTGGCTTGATGCCACACTCCTTGCTTCACCGTTTGGTGTGGAGGCCTTTGCGAAGGCCCATGTGAAGCCCCATGACGTTGATTTCTTCCCCGAAATGTTTGGCATCCCACCTTTGAGCATTACATGTCGCATCTCTGGGGTTCGAAATCGGGCGGGTACTCCTAGGGGATGGGTGGTACTGTACCCCTAAGCTAGGGGATAGGCACTGAAAACATTAGGATCCCAGAACTTGGCTCCATACAAGATCCCTTTTTCTCCATTATCCCTATATAACCCCCATAAAATCCCTATATAATCCCTATATAACCCCAAAAAAATCGCTATATAACCCTTATAATAATCCCTCTATAATCCCTATATAACCCTGATAAAATCCTTATATAGCCCCTTTTCCATCCCCTGCCGAGCTCAAGACGTGCAGCTCCGCAAGCTGCATATTCCCAGTCATGCTTCAGGAAAGCCCAGGACTTGGCAAGAAAAGCGGAGGCGTTCTAGAGATTATATTGGGGTTGTAAAGGGATTATAGGGATTATACAGGGTGTATATAGGGATTTTATAGGGATTGGGATAATGGAGAATCAAATGGAAACTACCATTTAGGGCTTAGGGTCAGGTAGAGTTTTGAACACGCATTGCAAGGATCAAAGTTGTGGGTTATCCTTGGGGCCTGAATGTTGGCACTTCGGGTCTTCCTGATTAGCATCCTGCGATTTCGAAGGTGCGGATGACTGCAGTTCCCGCACATACTGTACCCTGCTGGCAGCGTCTGTGGTAAAGCTTGTGTGTGAGGAGCAACTGTCGACAAAGGTTGAGTCAGCAATCTCCTTTTGACAACATGCTGCCCAAGAACTTCGATTTGACCAGTCTGGTACCTGGAGCTACTTTTGGAACGGCCTTGTACGGGCCAGCTGAGGCTGCAGCAACTCCGGCGCCCAGCATACAAATGACCTTAGCCCCGCCGCCAATGCAAATCTCAAATGCTTTTGGGTATGGCCCTACATGGTAGTTTCCCGAAATAAGGGGACCCCACTATAGACCCCAAAATACTATAATCTTTATTATAGAGGGACCCCCAAAAAGGTGCCCCTAATATTCGGAAACCCCTACATAGCACACGACCAGCAACTCAACACAGGGCACCGTGCAGCCTGGATCCAAAGTACGCCCGTCATTCCGAAAGGACCTTCCCAGCTGAAGCTGGTGCAAGCTGTTCTGGACAAAGCTGGTGCGCGTTTGGCCCCATAGTTTATTAGATTGAGGCAGCTGAAGCAGCAAGTAAGCTAGAATTTGAGGTAAGAACCACTACTGACAGGCTCGAAGATGAGAGCGCCAGCCTCGGCACACAACAGCGTGCTGGAAATCAGCTCGCCAGCTTTCAACCTCACATGACTTTGCCCGCCACGAGCGCACCAATCTTACCACCTGCGCTGGAGATGCCATGGCCTTCATCAGAACATTTTACAGAGATGCGCAACCCGGAGCACCCATAAACCATAATCATCATCTAGGTGCACGGCAAGTGCTGCGGATCATAGTTGGAAAGCACACCGCCGGAAGAACCTTCATTGCGTAGCCCGCAAGCACCCAGAACTAACAAAGCATGTCATCTAGCTGCAATCATCAGAGTGAATCAGCCCACTGAAGACCGTGATGCTCTAACCTTTTGAATCTTTGAACACAGCACAAGAACGGAGGAAGACGATCTGGAGCAGAAGCCAAGCAAGCGGGGATTGCATCGGAAAGAGATCCCAAAAAGATGAAGAGACTTGTCACGTTGACGGGAAACAGGGCGAACACACGCAAGAGTCGTTGCCCTTCTCGGGTGCCGAGGCGATACCACAATAGCATCTGAAAAACCCTTCACAAGAATTGCCGTGTTCCCACGCTGCACCTTCATGGACTAAGTTGCGCGCATAAGTCCCAATATTTGGGCCCCAGTTCAGCAGGAAGGTGAGCACGCAAAAAAGCACCTTATGCAGGCAGGGATTCAGGAACTTCAGCGAGGCTCGAGGAAGACAAAAGAATCCGAATGTACGCGTGATGATAACAACAATTCTCGGTGGTGGTATTGCGCGCTTGTCATTGAACTTCTGCATACCTTCTCGTCTCCATGTCTAAGGCTCTAAGGCTGGGACAAAATGCAACACATGCCTGGGAAGCCAAGCTCAAGCGCCAGTCTCAGCAGCTCATGCTCCATCTACACACCCAAAATCCAGCCACAAACAGAAAAAGAACCTTGGTTTATAAACCTCCCACTTAGGCATCCCCAACTCGAGGCCCAGCCCATCAAAGAGTAAGCATACTGAGAGCACCCGAGAGCATTCGAAGGTCCAATAGCGATAGGTATCAGGATCGCAACCTTCAGACTCCAAGAGCAATGAGAGCCCAATTGTTGAAGGAAAAGAGGACACTCGGACACTCAAGTCAAAGCTTCTACAAATATGCTACCTTCCTATATTAGTACACTACTAACTAGCCCTTCACTATATTGCGAACATATTGCTGCTTACCCAAATGGTATCGTACTGTTTTGTGGAAGTATTGCCATATTTCCGTGTCTCTATCTTACTGGCGGTCAACACGGAATGAAGGAACACTGACTCTATAATACCAATATAATATAAGGTATTCCCGTATTCCGTAGTGCCTCCCAGTAAGCTACAGTACTAAACGAAGCAGCCAAGCACCAGGCGAACCTGGCCTAAGCACCCAGGCCAAAGCTAAGGCTGCGAAGCTAGCAGCCAAGGCCTCGCGAGGCAGACGTTCCGGTTCATGTTTGCAACTGGGTGGTTGTCAAAATTAGGGTCCCTTTTTGGATTCCTATTATAATACGGCACCTTATAGTCAGAGTACCGAAAAAGGGACCATAAATTTTGAGAACCACCCAACTAGGGACCCTGAGGGGCTGTAAGGGGGATCATGGGTCCTTATTAGGGATTCTGTGCTGACTGTTTTGGTGAACTCCCATCCAAGGAATCTAGGGTCTAGTCTTAGGGTTCGTGTAGAACTCAAGGGAAGGAGTGCAGGAGAGAGGTTGAAGGCTAATAATGAGGCTAAGAGCTTAGGAGGTGTTGGGGCTTCAGGGTCTGGGATTTAGGGTTCTGTTTGAGTGTCAATGGTGGTGGTCGCTCTTCCGAGGATATACATTGTTGCCGAGATATTGCGAATTCTACATGTTCTACTGTTCTTTGAAACAGAGAGCTATGAGAGCATTAGGATGTTGCAGATCGTTGCAAAGTTACCAGAAAGCAGGTACCTACCTGTCCTAGGAAAACCATCAGTAAGCAACGAAAGTCATACAAGACTTTCTGGATATGACCTGGAGGCCCGAGCCTCTGAAGAACTGAAAGGATGAACTCACTGCCGAGCAGCAAGGAAGCCATAAGCATTGAGCCTTTTGCAGCCCATCCTGCCACCAGGCTCACTTGAAAGGAGTTTTCGCACACGTGTAGGTGCAGCGTAGCCTGTCCACCACTATCATTGCAGCNNCGTAGACCAGCCCCAATGCCAGCAGCAAGCAAATCTTACCAACAAATCGCCTAGCAAACTCGAGACTCCGGCCCATAGCTGTTATGATGGCCGACTGCTGCGAAATCTGCAGCAGCGTTTGCTCGCCTCGGCGCAAAAGCACTCCCAAATTCTTGCCTCTCCTTCAACGCCACGAGAAACTTCTCAAGTTAAGCAGCAATGGCCGTTCAGCATTGATCCTGTGAGGCACATCCGCTCCAGGATCCTTGGCCTTGGCTTCC